TCTTCCTGGTTCTCCTCCCCCAAGTTTTCTGAGATCCGGACATTCCTGCAAACAGCCTAGGCTGTCTCCACCCAGCTCTCAACTGAGTATTACCCAGAGCTCAGAACAGCTGGGCTGCAGAGGGCATCCGGGCCAGCTCCAGCCCTGCCGCACAATGGTGTACCACCCAGCCGGGGAAGTCATTGTGCAGCCTCCGCCCTCTGCCTAGCTCCAGGGAATGGATAGGGAGCCCCTGAAAGAGGAAAGGCTGGGCCCCAGGAGGAAGGATGGAAGGCAGTGAGAGGTCAAGTGCTAAGCCTAGCCGCAGAGGCACCTTGGCAGAAGCTGGGAGGGAGGGCCTGACTAAGGCCTCAATGGCTGTAAGTCACAGCCAGCAGGCAGTACAATCCCAGATAACAAGCCCTGGTTTCTCCAGCTAGTAGGGACCGGCAGAAGCCCCCCGTCAGGTGGAAGGACAGAAAAACTACCCACTCATACGCAGTTTCCCAGCAGTAGCCCAGGATACTCTGTGACCTGGTGCTTCTCTTGACAGCTCATCTCATGTCTTTAGGGTAGAAGGCTCCACTGATTCTTAAACTTGGACCCTGCTGCTGGAGCAAATGCTTCTTTCACTGGCTCGAGCTCAGGAAACTGCAGCCTGGCCCTGGCCCTGGGCAGCACACCAGCTAGGCTATCCTGCATTGGCCCAGCATGAATAAATCCAGACCCTTCCCTTAGCCTTGCTTCTTGAGGGATGTTCTGCAGTTGCTCAGATGCTGCACACACAACTGGCTAAGTTCCTTCAAGAGACCCTGGGGCCCAGCAGGTAGCCGAGGGTTTGTTTCTCCTGATGCAGGTGATCAGGGTGCATGGGCCACAGTTTCCACCAGGAGTCCTGTAGCTTCATGGTGGCCAGGCAGAAAAGCAGGTGGCAAGAGGTGATGTGAAAGGACCCTACACATGAGTGGCAGGGACTGTGGACCCACAAGAAGGCTCAGACCAGGAGAGGCAGAGCACAGAGAGGAACATTTCAGATATGGAGTGAGATGGGGCAAGATGGAGCCATGCATGTGTGGGCACAGGCTTATCTCCCAGGACCCTGGTATGCACTGTAGGCAAGTCTAAGGTGAAGGCCAAGCAAGACCCTGGCCTATAATGCCATTCAACTCAGTGAAGAGGAAGGAACACAGGCCTGGTAAGCAGGAGACCCAGGCATTAATCTCAGCTTCACCATGCACTGCTTTTGACAACACGCAAACTTTCAGAACCTCAGTTTCCCTATGCATTAAATAGAGACACTAAAGCTCCCGGGATTTTCAGGGATGGGAGAACAAACAAGTAATAATGCACTCGAAAGTGTTTTGGAAAGCAGAGTATTACAACAGAAAATGCAGATACAGCACACGCACTGCCACTTTCCTAGCCTATGCCAAAGGCAGTTGGCATTGCTAGTTGATCTTGGTACTTTCTCACTAAATTATATTAATACTTTAGAACCCCTCTCAATGTATATTCCAGGAAACCATGCCAATAGATTAGCATTCCAAAACAAAATGAAATATCTTTCCCCTGGCTGGTACAAGCTCAGGGCATTGGTGTTGTCAGGGAGATCCCACCAGTTTCAGGTAAAGCTGCTAGGACCTAGAGCTGGTGGAACGTCAGAGGTGGCCCAGCCATTGTGAGTGGTTGAGATAACAGAACCATGGTGTCCTGGTTCAGCCCGTCAGCCAGTGGCTGTGCATCAGTTATCAGTTCTGCATCCAAGTGTAAAGGTCACATTCTTATTGGACCCTGCCCTTCCAGAACTCACAGAATAGTTATGGAGACTATGTCCATGGAGGAAAGAGAAGTGACTACTTTATACAGGTGACACCAGAGAGGTCATTTCAGGAGGCAGGGCTACAGTGCCCAAGGCAAAGAAGAGGGTGATTGGAGCTCTGCAGCCCCCAGTCCACCACATCCTCCCAAGTCTGCTACCATGGAGCACTCCCTGAGGAGTGTACACCAGGTCTTCGCCCAGACCCTGAACTGCTGTGTGTAGGGGAGCTCTGGCCAGGCAGAAGTGAGGGCAGCCCAGGACTGGGAAGCAGGTGCTGGGGTTCCTACATGGTCACCCCAGCACACATGACCAGACTTCCCCATCAGGGCCAGCCTGGCCAACAGCAGTCACCAATGGCCTCCGTGGTGTGTTTTTAGGGAGTGTCAAGCGGTCCTTGCTGCATCTGCAAAACTGTCCTAATGGTGCCTCAGATTCCATCCCCACAGCCTCTCCATGGAATATTTATTAAATAATTGTTTTTTAATTTTGCTAGAGAGTGCATGGACTCACCAGAGAGAGAGAGATAGAGGAGGGACCCTCCATATTCCCTACTCCTCCATCTCTCCCTTCTTTGGGGATCTTGGGCACGAACGTACATGTACCCAGCGTGATTTTCAAGCGGCCAGATCTGGGACCCTAAGTATCAAGTTGGCTATGTGGGATACACAACCTTGACCACCATGCCACCATGGGGATCTTCATTACATGTGAATGTCAGGAGATTGGTAAGAATGCTGATTCCCGACTGCTCTAACAATTAGTTAGATCCTAAAGGCACAGCTTCTTCTCAGGACCTCAGACAGTGCCAGGGATTCATCTAGTACCCTAGGAGCCTCCCTGCACCTAGACAACTTCCTTAAGGCCCCATCTTCCCCATCCCACCTTAGAGACTCCATGTGTCTGCTCCGCAACTGTCCCATGCACCCCAGGGGCACCCTCATCCCCAGGGAACACGGAGGGCTGCTCCAGCACCCTGCCCCTCCCTGACAGCAGTAGGGAGGGCATCCCTAGGGCTGCTTCAGGCAATGCCGTGGTCATGGATGGAAGATGGAGCCTGGACTGTAGAGTAAATTTCGCTGAAAACAGGAAACCACAACTGAGTTGTGTTCATTTGTAAGGGTCTGGAGTAGAGAGTGCAAGGCTGCACAGGAGGAAGCGAGGGAGGAAGTGTGTGGCTGTTCTGCTGTGGGGCCTCCTCCCTCCATCCACACAGCAGCAGCCGGGCCTGGGGTCTGGTAGCCAAATTCTTAGAAGTTCTCTGCCTCAAGGTCAGAGCTGAGGGCTAGGGCCAGGCCAGCCTCTCTCAGAGTGCAGGGTCTACTCCTCCTGAGCTGGAGGAACAGGAGTCTGGTCTGTGGGCTTATCTTTCGACTCTAGGGTCAGCCCAGCCCTGATTCAGGGCAGGTATCACCTTCATACTCCTGCCCCATGAGCCCCCACAAACTGTGAGGTCAGCACCTTCTTTCTCCATGGCAGCTGGCACTGGCCAGTGTCCATGGTGGCAGACAGAATGGAAGAGGGGCCCCCAGGGACAAAGCAAGAGCCAGGGATTTGGTGTTTGGGCCACTCCAGATGTCAGTCTCATCACGAGGTCTATGCTCGCCTTCTCAAGTCTCCAGGCCTGCAGCTGAGCCCTAGACATGGAGAAGTGCACAGTGGCCACTGTCCTTGGGCTTGACAAGTGGGCTTGGAAGCACGTGTCCAGGTGGGGTTCCCTGGTCCAGCTGCAGGCCTGGGCTCACTGCTGCCAGACAGGTAGAGGGGCTCCCTGCCCTATTCCAGGTAGGTGAGAGGACTTCTCCCTACCTGCTGGGCCCTTTGTCTCAGCCCAGAGTCCTGGTTGTCAGAACCCAGCCCCAGCTTGGCAGAGCCAGGGTAGGCTGCTGGAAGGCAAAGGCCCACGTCGAACTATGCCCTCTGTGGTTCCCACACTCTAGTCCCTCTGGCAGCTGGAGGGGGTTTGCCCAGTCCAGCCTCACCCCTCCCTGCTCTCAGGCACTGCCCTCTTTGTTTCAACCCCAGAGTGTACAGAGACCCACCCCAACTCTTTTCCCATGCTTTAAAATTCTGTGGTCATAATCCCTTAAAGGCCTCCCCTTGTGTACATGTGTCTAAAAACCAATCCAGGTCCTGCCTGCAAACAGGAGATGGGAGCGGAAAGGGAACAAACTCTCTGTGACGTCCCCATCCTCCCGCCCCACAGGGTCACTCTGAGGTGAAGACTGGGCCAAGCCCACTCTATTGTTTGGAACAGAAGACCAAAGGCTGGGGTGGGGATACAAGGGTTCCTTAGGCCCTGGGCACTTGGGAAACAGCAAGGAGGTTTAAACTCAGCTCTGACAATTCATCCATAGGGCTGCACCCGGTGCCCCATGTAGTTTTTAATAACATCCCCTTTTCATACTCAACAGCATCCGAGAGTGGACGTGGTGTGGTCCTCGCTTTTGTCCACACTGAGCACTGGGAGCAGGGCTGGGGAGGGAACCCCTCCCACTCACCTTCCCAGCAGACCCCACCCACCTCCCTCAGGGCCATCCGTGGTGGGTGCTGCAACCTCTGGCCTGGTCTCGGATTGCCCAAGATTCCAGTTAGCTCACAGTGGCCGCTGTGCCCCGGTATGTACTTCCTATTTCGGGGCCACTGGACTCTGGGGACCAGAATGCAGAGAGTGGGAGTCCCAGATCCACTGAACCTGTGGACAGGTCCTCACAGAGATGGCTGGTAGGAAGCAGATGGGGGAAGCTCCATGGCTGGGGTCAGCAGGCCCAGTCCCAGAGCCCTGGGTACAAAAAGCAAGTGTAAAGTGTGCAGCCTTAGGCGCAATGCAGGAGCAGGGACAGCCATAGAGGGAGGAGTTTCTCCACTTCATAACTGGGAGGGCCCATCTTGTCCCATCTATGTGCCAGGTCCCAAGGCTCACGTCCTAGGAAGAGAGGCTGCTGCAAAGAGGGAAATTCTGGGACCAGCAGATGGCATAATGGTTATGTTGCTGGGCTCCACATGGCTAACCATGGTTCGAGTACTGGATCCAGAGGCTTGAAACTCACATTGGGCATGAGCGCATGTGTGCTCAAAATTCTGAGAGGAGAACGGAGGAGAAGAGATTGCAGTGTGGCCATTCCCCAGGGGTGTGGTGTCTCGCTTTCTGTCTCTCTGTCTCTCCGGCAAGCACACACATCCTAAGGCAAAAAAATCTCTCTTAAAAAAAGAAGAAGAAGAAGAAGAAGCTGGAAATTCTGTTACTTCATAAGAAGTAGGTCATTTGGCATCCATAGCTGGAGAATATAGGTCTCTAGGAAGGACCTCAGCACCCCAGCATTCTTGGGACAGGTGCCGAGCAATCCAGCATTGTCTCACTTCTCCCATGCAGCATCCAGAGGGGTTGAGGGTCAAGGCTCGGAGCAGGAGAGAGGAAACCAGGATCAGGACCACAGAGGCCACTCCAAGGCTCAAGCGCACCTGCCCTAGGCCCAGCCACAGCTGCCCACAGCCCCCAGCTGGTCTAGATGACCTCGGAGTTTGGGGAGTCAGGAACAGGATCTGCAAAGGAAAAGAGTAGAGTGCATGGGAGCCCCTCTGTCCCTCACCCCCCAACCCCATACCATGAGGTTGTGAAGCCTCCTTATGGAAGTTAGGAGTGAGAGTGATGCTTCCCAGGTCATGGGTCATGACTTCCAGGTCATGGTGCTATGAGGGTTGGGAAGTACTCACCCAGGGATGGGAAGAAGACGTCCCCTGGGCCTGGAGGAGACAGGGGAGTGCTGGGCTCAGAGAGCAGGTGCCGCCCAGACTCAGAAGGCTGCCGCTGGGCCACATAGGACAGTGGGGGTCGGGACTTGGCCTCTGGTATTCCCTGGCAGGGTGGAGAGGTCTCGAAGCCAGGATTTTCGATTCCTTGAGTGCTGCTGCCAGAGCATCAGAACCAATGATCATTTGTGTTGCCTACAGTGTGGCCTCTGCCCTCCCTACCTCCCCTTTTCTCTCCCTCTTTCCATCCTCGGCCTCCCCAGCCCCAGGAAGGGAGAAGCCAAGCCCACCAGAAAAGACCATGGGCTGCACTCTTCCAACTGCCCTGAGCTGAGGGCATCAGAACTGACCCAGTTCCTCCCTGTGGTCTGACCTACAGCACCAGGCCCAGCCAGGACACCATCCCTAGGAGTCTGAGGACAGGTTTCTCTTTGGTTATTAGTTAATGGCATTAGCATTGAAAATCCTCAAAGCTTGTCTTGAGCTGAAGGAAGAAGTTCTCTTTTCCTGGGTGGGAGTGAGATAACCTCTCAAGAGCCTCCAACTCTGAAATTCCAGCAGAACTTCCTCTGACCTGTCTGAACATCATCCTATGGAACCCCCAGAGCAGTTCTGAGCTTGGAGTCACAGGCCCTGGAACTAAGTCTCTGAGTGTGGCTTATTCCAAACACATCCTCGGGGCCAGGCTGCATGCCAGCTTCTTGTCCAGAGTGCACCAATACACAGACCCCTATCCACTCCACTCCAGGCCTGCTATGCCACTCTGGGTCCCATTGACCTCTGCCCTCATGGCCTACAGGATCTGACAGGACGACCTGGTAGTGCCCTGCAGTGGGGAACCACAGCTCCAGGTGTGTGGCCTGAGTGGGCTCATGGGCCTCTTTTGCATGTTTCAGTATCTGCCTCAGATTAGCTGCTTCTTCCTCTCCCCATCCTAGCCCAGACTGACCACTGAGGCTCAAAGGTGGGTGCCTGGCCCATCTAAGAGAATCAGAGCTCAGTCGGCTGGGTGCAGAGTGGCAGGGAGAACAGCCAGCCAGAACAGCTGTGTAGGTTTCAGCAGCCGATGGCAGGTGCGCTCTGACCAACTTGCTATGTGGTCAAATAGGGGCCCTTCTGCACAGAAATATCTCCTCCCTGACAGCTTCCCAGAGAGGTTTTCTCAAGGTCTCCCTGGACCTTACCTGTCCATCCGCACCAGCTCCTGAGCACCTAGGGACAGACAGAGAAGCTGGTCACAGGAGAGGTTTCCCCAGGCAACATCCCTGCCTTAGTGGCAGATGCCCCTTGGGAGCCAGCGCAGGCAGGGCCCTGCTCAGCCCTGGTCTCCACTATCCACCTGGGAGGCCTGACAGTGCTCTGCACATCTGTCCAGCAAGTAGGACCTCAGTGAGCAACCCATGTCATTGAAAACACAACTTGGTCTGCATTCTCCAAGCATTGGGGACATTTGGCACCAGGAAACCAAAGTCAACCAGCACTTTCTCCTCTGCTTGACTCGGGCAGGATCTGACCTTTAGGATTTTAAGTATCAACCAAAGGCCTGGCTCTTGAATTTGCTAAACATTGTTTCCTGTTTGGAAATTGGCCAGGTTCTGGTCTCTAGTCACAACTCATTAGCGGGGAGTGTTCCAGGTCATTTCCAAACTAGAGGGCTCCTGGTTTTCTCTGTCCCAGCTTTCACATCGCCTGTCACAGATAACACCTCTCAGGGAAACCTTGAGGGGGCCGAGTACCCCCTCAGTTCCTTCCCACTCTGCCTGCTCTCTCCTCCTCATTCATGCTGCTGCTGCCTTGCCCCTTTCTTGGAGTTCCCCACACCAAAACCGGCCACCAATAGATGCAGGGCCCCAACTTCCCTTTCTTGCAGCTCCCCTTCAGATCCTTCTCATTCTAAAGAGCTTTACTGCTGGTGACTATGGGGAAACAGATGGTGGTGGGGGTGAGGCACAACAGCAGAAAAGACACAGGGAAGCAACACATACGTTCCTGAGATTCGTTAGACTCATGGACGCTGTTATGGGCACTTCTGGGCATCAGGCTTCCTGCAGGTGTGCGGCGTGTATTCACCCGCCTCATCCTCCCCACCTCCCTTGGGGTAAGTGTACTGGTCCCACTGAAGAGTGGGGAAATGGAGTCTCAGTCTATAGCTGGATAGGAGTTCGCACCTGCTGGCTCCTCCAGCACGCTGCCTTCCTCAGAGCTCCTGGTCCCGTCTTTTTCTTTTTCTTTCTTTTTCTTTTCTCTTTTTCATTTTTTTTTCTTTCTTTTCTGCACCACATTGGGCCCTGTCAGCCTCTGCCCCCGGGGCTTCCCAGGTGCTTTCTCTTCCTACCAGCTGCTTCTCTAGAGTCTGGATCAAAATAAATGAACCAGACTTTGGCTCCCTCTCTGTTTTGTACCTGGTCTCTCGCATCATCCCATCTGGCGTCTTGTCTCTGGCTCTGACGAGAAATCGGTAAATAAAGTTTTTTTTTTTTTTTTTTTTTTTTTTTTTTTTTTGAGAGGGAGAGGATCAGCTTCTAAACTGTTTCTATTAGCAGATGAATCGTTGATACCTTTCTGTTACTGCGTGTATCAAGTCTCAGGAGCAGCTGCATGCAGTGTCTGCTCATGATAGAAGCGGTTCATCTAGGTTTCCCAGAGTGTCCCCAGCCTGAGACACGGTGCAGACCTAGCCAGCCACCCCCCCCACCAGTCTTGCCCTGTCCCCTACACACACACAGCAATCTCCACCCAGAACTGTTTTCCAGTTTCTGTTCCCTGTTCTGCGCACATGACAAGACAGCACTGTGGTCTGCAGTAAAGGGGCGGAAAGCACCGCTCCATGTGGGAGACAGCCCCACGGAGTGCACCCCCTCCCCACCCATCCGTCCCACCTCCGTGAACTGCTATGTACATGAGAGGGGCTGATGGCAGCCGCGGCCGTTCCTCTCCCTCGTGCAGCCAACCGCTTCCAACCTCGGGGTACTCCTTGGGGTAGGCTGTGGTGGGTTTTGTGAGAAGAACATGAGAGTCCCAAGAGTGAGGGTAATGTGCCCACAGCCCCCTAGAGACCCACTGTAGGGCTCCAGACTGGGCACCTGGGAGCACAAGGAGGGAGGGATGCCAAGCTGTTGGAGGCCAGCCAGAGAAAACAGGTGTGAGCCTAAAGTCACCTGGTGACACAGCAGTCCTCCCTCAGTTCCCTCGGCAGCCAGGAAAAGGCCGGGGATGGGGTGCAAAAGAAAAGGACTCCCCGCTCTCCTGCTCTCAGATTCAGAATAAGTAGGCTCAGAGGCCAGGCAATGGGCCCTATCACCCAGAGGGAATGTGAAAGGGGTTCGTGGATGTGACTGGAAGCCTGGTTCCACCATTTTTTTCCTGTGTGATTCTTTAGGCAAGTCGCCTACTTCTCGGTGCCTCAGTCTGCTCATCTGTAAAATGGAGACAATGGTAGTACCAAACTCTTGAGGTTGTTGTGAGAGAATGTATATAATAAGCTTGGCATAGTGCCGGCACAGCCACCCTAGCAGTTAGGGGGTGCTGACTACCACACTCATGCTGAAAGCATTTTCATTATATGGTGGAATTAACATTTCTTGGAAAGAGCAGGAGTTCAAAACTCCAAGGCTGAGTCCTAGCCCTGCCATTTACTAAGTTAAGTCTGCAGATCTGAGGCTTCTCATCTGTAAAAGGTGTCCAACTAAGTTATCTCTAAGATCCCTCCTACTTCTGATGTTCCAAAGGTCATTTTTGTCCAAGCAATTTCTAATTGTAAAACAAGTCCGCCCATACCTTACATCAAGTCTCCAAAGGATCTGAGCACCCACGTTTTATAAACCAACTTGAGCTACTCCACATGACTTCGCTTATTCAGCAGATACTGAGTGCTAAGCAAGCACTGCCTGGAGCCGGTGAGGCCAGTGGGCACTCAGGCCCGGAAATGGCATGTCAGAGTCCCCAGCTCTCTCAGCCATCATGCCCAGCTCCTTGCAGGGAGCTAGCAGCTCCCAGACCCATAATAGAGCGGAACTGTGCCTCCTGTGTCTTTGCTGACCCTATAGGGGATGAGCCAGGGGCTGGGGCAGGTCACCTGCATTCTCCAGGCAGGCTGGGATACTCACGGCGGCTGGAGGCTGCCTGCCTCTGCTTATAGACCAGAAGCAGGATGAGGGGGAGGCAGAGGATGCCCACGATGCAGGCGCCTGTGGCCAGGGCTGCAGCGGTGATGTCTGAAAGAGCAGAGACATAGCCAAGGTGAGGCTGTATTCCCACTACTCCCACAAGGGGAAACTGAGGCCCAAAGAGGGTAGATCATGCAGTAAGGGACCTACCTTTACCCAGTGCCCCACTGCCAGACCCTCAGTGACCTGCAGAGGCATAGAAGGTCTGAAGACCTCTTTCAAAGAGAATCCCCCTCATTCCCTAAGTGGGCCCAGAGCATGCAGAAACAAGGCCTATTGCTTCCAGTTGAGGCAGCTCCTCATCCTGGCCCATGGGGACAGCTGGACCACTGGTTGTCCCTTGAAAAGGGAGAACAGGTCCTCTGTAGACCCTGTGCCACAGAATTCAAGGTTAAAAGGAGCTGAAAGGATGAGAACGTTGTGGAAATAGATGTTGGTGATGTCTGCACAGCACTGGGAATGTAATCCATGCCATAGAACTGTGCGCATAGGAACGGCGGAGTGGCAAATCATGTGTTACATATGTTTACCACAATAAAAGATAAACCAATCCATGGGGCCAGCAGGCAGTGTGGTGGATAAGGGCGCTGGATTCCCACATGGCCAACCATGGTTCAAGTCCCGGACCTGGTGGCTTGCTTTCTCGCTTTCCCTTTCTCTCTCTCTCTGGTGGTCAAATAAAAAAATAAAATAAAAAACTAACAATAAAAAATGGAATTAAATAAGTAAATAATTCTTTAAAAAAAAATGATAAAGCAATCCAAGACCCCAACTCAAACTAAGGACTCCTGAGCTCTGGGGCAGGACCTCTGGCACACAGGCATGTAACAACCTGAGGGCAGAACTAGAGAAATGTGTGTCCATGTCTGACATTTCAAAAGGTGAAACTTTTTAAATTTTGTAAAAAGAAAGTGTGCAGGTTTAAACATATATTCCTCCTCCCCCCTTTACCTGATCCCCCTCCAAAGAGATAAGCACTGCCTACAGTTCCTTGGGATCAGCCTCGAAACAGTCCCTTCATACACATCAGATACGGGATCGTGGCACGACTGTTTTTCCCGCGGAGCATAGCTCGCACATCTCTGACTGCACAGAGACCTCCCTCCCGAAACTTACTGAAACAGTCCCCTGTTGGTGGAAACAGTCTTCTATGGATGGACAATGGATGTTGTTTGCTTCCACTTTCAATGTAACTAACACTGTAGCAACAAGCCCCTGGTGCATGCACCTTGGCTCACTCGGACAAGTGCATCTGCACTTAGTCCATAGCAGTGAAAGTGCTAAGCCAAAGTGCATTTTCTTGTAGGCTATTGCAAAATTGCCCTCCAAAAACGTTGTACCGCCTCACAATCCCAACAGCGTGGGGAGGTTTGATTTATTTTAGACCATCTGCTGACTCCAGGAGTTTAGCTGGGAACAGACATGCCCTCAGAACCACAACCAGCGTAAACGCATTTCCTTCCCAATTTCAGTCTTCCCTCAGCCAAAAGATGGGCTGGGATACCTTGTCACAGTGTCAACTCCACCTCAGGGAGCTTTGGGAGGTGGATGGGCTGGGGTCTAAATGTTGCCATTGCACTATTTATTTTTGGGGGAAAGGCCATTCTTAACTCATTGTGTTGCTGAACAGCCCAATGGTGTAAACAAGCTTTCAGGAGGGGTTGCACACACCGGTGAAGAGAACAAACTGTTTTCAGGCACTTTCGAAGTACCCAGTGGTACAGGAACAGTTGCTATACTAATTGCAGAGCAGGTTCTGCTCCACATTAAAGCAGGCTCCCTGCAGATCTTAGCAAGGCTGCATTTGGGCATGGAATATTGAAAGTAAAGATGTTCTATAACTCTAACGTTTCCGTATTTCTAAACCCCATCAAAGGACCTTATTGTGGGCAATATCTGAGCAGCAGGTTGCAAAGCACCCTTCCTCACCCATCAAAACAAGGCTCCTCCGGACTGTTACTAAGCAACGTTTTGTGAGGTTCACCAGGTGCTCACTAACTCTGGCTCTGTTTGCCTTGGGGCCTTGGCTCGGTCACCCTGGCTGACTTTCAGTCCTAGCAGGGATTGCCCCTCTGTGTCCCCTCTACAAGATCAAGACTCGGTTTCACTTGAGAGCCTGAGTTTCCTTATAGTTAAGGCTGAGAGTTGAGGCTGGGTAGGGGGCAGGGTTTAGGGGCAGGTATGTAGGCCCAGCTTCCTTCTGAAACCAGGGGCACCTCTGTAGAGCCTGGCCTCGCCGCGTGTCCCCAGTCCTCCTCCCAAGGATGGCCAGTGCCTGGCTGGCACCCCCTGGAGAGAGGATGTGTTTGGTCACCATCCAGACTAGGTCCATCCTGGGAAGGTGGCCAGGCGCTGGCAGGGGCAGCTGCCCACAACACCCTGATGAGTGCACCAGGCCTTACAGCAGGGCGGGCGGGAG